GGGGATGGCGGTGATGGTGGTAAGGGAGGTGGGGCAGATGGTGGCGGCATGAGTTTGTGAGACTGCACCGACAGGTGGCTGGGGATGGAGATATTGGTGTTGCTTTGAGCCTAAATGTCACTCTTAGCCGCACGCGGTATCCGTTTAAAAGTCACCGGAAAAATTGTCTGAAATTTTCCGGCAGTCGCAATGACACGATTCACGGTGGCAGACACATCTGAAAGTTATATAAAAACCGACAGTAACATTCAAAAATGACATAAAAATCTGGTAATGACATATGACAATGAAATGAAAATATCATAGTGACAAAAAAATTTGGTAGCGACATCATGTTTTCCAAATATATATATGAACTTCTTAGTCATTTTTTTGTCCTTTTATAAAAATGTTCACATTTTTGGAAATTGCATTTAATTTAGTAATATTCAAGTAAAAAGCCCATATTTTTGGTAAAATTCCACAAATAGAAGTAAACGTATATAGTGCCAAAATGTGAGTATTATTCTTTAAAGGTTTAAATAAGTTTTAGTCCCTATAAATATAATAAATTTTGCTTTTCATCCCTCCAATTTATGTTAGTTTCAGTTTTAGTCCACCACAAATGGTAACAATTCAACCTCCGTTTGACCTCAAAATAACCCCGATCAATAGATTTTCTCTAATTCTTTGTCATGTTATTAAAAAATTATTTAATTTTATTTTATTCGAAGGCTTTTAATTTATATTTTTTATATGTGAATACTTCGTTTTACATTATTTTAACTCTCATATTAGTCTCAAAAAAAAATTAAAAAGACAAAATTAAATATTTCTAGTAGATTTATGGAACTAACAATAATTTTTTCTAATAAGTATAGTGGTTTCGGAATTAGAGAAGGACTAAAAACAAAATAGTGCATATTATAGGGATGAAAAATAAAAAATATATTTTGAAGGAATCTAAAACAAAGTGTGTCATATTTGCAGGGATTAAAAACGTATTTAAGCCTTCTTCAAATAATAGAAATATGTCAATGTCATTCTCAAAATTTAGGCATATATTGAGATTACTACTTTATCATAGCTTTAAATATGGTAAGATATTGTCATAATTGACAATATTTTCAAATATAGTAATTGCTCTTATTTAGAAAATAAAAATATAGTGTTTATAGCTTACACCTCCAAATTGGTTTTACTCATATTTAGGCAATTTTATTATTATTTTGGATAATAATACTCCTTAATAATGACCAGCAACAACTGCATTTGAAACGTAGAATACAACCTGAAATCTAATTTAAAATAAGAAAAACTACATAATGTGACTAAAATTAAGATTGCTTACAAAAATGTGACTATTGACTAGAGTAGTAATGAAATTATAGTAACATATGTTCATTTTTTAAACTTAAGTTACCATAACACTATATTATTAAAAAAAGTTAAATTAATTAAATAAAAGGTAGTTACATTTTATTAAAAAAACGAGTTATATTATTACGAGTATTTAAAAGTGTAGAGATGAAGATGATATTGATGTCATTCTTTAGAAAATTCATATACGTTGTGATCTAATTTGTGTAATTTTTTCTTACTGTAATAACTACTACTCCAACATCAATTAAACTACGTAGTTATTTTTAATAAAAAGATATTTTACGTATAAAAGGAGTCTAATAAAGGAGAGATTTCCCAAAGTAAGAGTAAATGGAGTTTAAAATTCCAAAATATGACTAGTTGACTACTATGTTTTTATTCCTGAAATAGGACTAACATGATGGTATTTACTGTCATCTTGTAGGTATGACTGCCAAATAGTTGGAATACATTGCATTTAATATATCAGTATTTATTAATAATTAATGACAATATTTTGCATACATGACACTTCTATTTAGGACAATTTCCCATAAATTAAAGGAGGAGAGTAGATAAGTAACATCACGCTTGCCGTAAATTCGATCATTAACTTTGACAAAGCTGGATTCGTCTCTTTTATGAACACCATTGACAGCTAACTCAGTAGTATCAAGTCAATAATCTGGGAGTAATAATAACTTAGAGAGAAATAAAATATCAGATGATAATATTTTTAAGACACTAACGATCAGGTTAGTCAAAGATGAAGAATTTTCAATGAGCATGATTAGCTGAAATTATTGTTACCCTATTCGTATTTATCAACCGAACTTATGATGATGTGTTTAATTGTGTATTTATTCGTTTATTTATAAAGTCGTGTTTACATATGATCTAGGAGTTGTTTGTTCATCTTATTCATATTACTTATTCTTCTTTTTTGAGTTAGATTAGATCAGAAAAATTCACATCATATTAGATTAGATCAGAAAGATTCTGATTAAATTAGCAGAGTTGTCTTACTTGTCTATATATATAGGACTTTAGGACCCTAGGCAAAAACTAAATTACATATTCATATTAGTAAAAATTGTTAGATATAAGATATTAGATATCATTAACGAAGTAATTTGTTAAAAATTATATTAAAATTTAGATTTTTATATTTTTGAACGTAAATGGAAATTTAATATTTCAAATATTCATTTACCTCGTAAAGTTAAATTTAATATAAAACAGTAACTTTTGTTAAAAGTATATACTTATCATGAAAATGAATTTGTGTAAATTCATACCTTATGAGCTAAGAGATGCAAAATATTTTTATTTTGGCCTGCGTTTCCAAAATTGAAAGAAGCACTTCTGAGAAAAGGATTAGGTAGATCAGATTGAAAGAATGACCTATTGTGAATGATCTTTAGTTTTAGTAATACCAAGGGATCAACTAAGAATTAAGATAAAAGAGTTGGCTGATTACAGATTGGTCGTGTCATTCGTGTGAAGATTATCACTTATTTTGGAATTGTGTAAAGGTTATTAATTATTATTATTACTTCAATAATTTTTAATACCGTACGTTTAATTTAATTATGGATAGTAACGAGTAATTATATAGGTATTATTTATGGAGATTTTAATATTACACATAATACTAATAGGCAGAGCCGTCTTGAGAACTTTGAAGGCTCCGGACAAAAAAAATGTCATGCACAAATCAAATTGAAAATGAGATAAATAGAATAAAAAATCATATGAAAAAAGTATATTCAAATTGCAGATATAACGTAAACGTCCAAAGGAAAAATTCATAAAAGAGAATTTCACTAGTTAACTAAACTTCTTCTTTCTTTTTGTACTAATATATAATACAAAAATCATAAACAATTCATTAACAAAAACCAAGAATTTATAAATAAAAATGACAAATCAAAGAATTTAATTTAGTAATACCAATACCATCACATTAATTATTTCATGTCTATATCATACGACGTATAATCTAATCCATACAATACCAATTTGTTTTACCAATATAGCAATATTAACCCAATAGTTTTTAAATTATACCTATTTGTCATACATTCAATATATTAAATATTTAACTTTACACCTTTACTCCATTAGTGAAGTAATCACTAAAACACTTGTAGTACTAAAAAGTTAAAATCTTTATTACCTTATTTAGACATCTACACGTGACACGTCTAGTATTCTAGTAATTTACTCTGGGTCGTATTTTAGAGACTAAGACTAAAGAGAATCGATCAATGAAGAGAAGGGGATTAGGAGAGAAATAAGAGACTGAGAAACCGAGAGACCGAGAGAGATTTAGAGACTCGTCTAGATCGGTGGGCGGCTGCAGACGGCAACTCGATGAGGCGTTCAATCAACGGATGAGGGTAGACTGGGAGCCTGGGAGTCCTGGGGCCGGTGGGTGGTTCGTAGTTGGTAGTAACCGCCTATGGGCATATTAATTCGGGAAGTAGTCGACGGGTCGGGCGTCGTCAGAGGACAAGAAGCAGAACCCTTCATGCAATCAGTAATCTTGTTTCTCAACATCGTCGGTGCCTGCTAGATGCGTGGAAGATAATTTTCCTATTCTAGTTTCCCATTATTAAGTAATTATACATAATACTAATAGTAATAGCTTTGAATTTGGAGGCCACTTTGGCATGTGAGGCCCAAAGCTGTTGCCTGGACTAACTCCCTCCAAAGCCACCCCTGCTAATAGGTTTTTTATGGTGCCCTACATAATGATGGTGCCCTAGGCATTTGTCTGTGTGCCTCCCATCTATGGACGACTTTACATATTAGAAAGATTCAGATCAGAAGCATTTCGATCAGACCATAAATATTTCAATTAGATCAAAAAAAGTTCAAACATAATTTATTACTTATATTATCATCATTATTAGTACTACTACTAATATTATTATTATCAATATTATTGTTGTTATTTATTATTGTTGTTGTTGTTGTTGCACTACAAAAAACATGAGATTGGCAGGAATTTTCAGCAGGGATTCACCAAAATTCATAGAGGATTTGGCACCGTGAAAATAGAGGATTTATCAGGCAGATGCCAAATTCGTGCCAAAACCATTTTGGCATGGGCTATTTGGCATGAAACAATCACTCAATCCATATCAAGTCCGTACCGATCCAATATTTTTTTGTAGTGTGAAATTGTTATTATTGTTGTTGTTATTATTATTATTATTATTATTAATATTATTATTATTACTAATATTATTATTATTATTATTTGTATGTTATTATAAATATAATACCATAAGTTTTTGTTATGATTATTTAAAAGATGTTATTACACCATATTTTATTATTGTCTTGGTATTGTTAATAATATACGTATGCTACTATTATTGTACGAATGCAAATTGTTGTTATTTTTTTATCATTGCAAATTGTTGTTATTGATATCGCTTATAATAAAGATAGTCGTAATTGTACAAACAAGGAAAACGATAATATAATGATATTTTAATTAAAGTTATAATTATAAATTTATAATTATTATAACAATTATAGCAATCAGTCCTATTAGTATAATTATAATTACAATTATAATTATAACTATAAATGAAGTGTGTTAACAATTTGTGGTGCAAATGAAGTGTGTCATAAGTGTAGTTAACTGTGGCATTTAGATATTTAGTCCAAGTGTAAATATAATTTGGGTAAAAAATTAAAACAAAAAGGTTTGAGTTTAATCAAGAAAAAAATGAAAAAACAAGAAAAATGAAAAGAAAAACTTAGAAAAGTAGGGTTCGGTCTGACGATCGCATGGTAGTGCCGTCTCCATGGGTGGCTCCGGCCGGTGGGTCGGGAGCGGCTATCAGATCATTTGCAAAGATGTTGGCAGCGAACAAAGATATCCCACTTAAAGCTCCCTTTCGGAATCGGGGAATGCCGGCGGTTCAATTTTCTGATGATGAGATCTCTTTGCTGGCGGAGCAGCATAGATTTGCGCTAGTGGGATCCTTCACAAGAGGCAGACCTTCGATGACTACAATCAGTCAAGAGTTTGAAAAAATTGGTTTCAAGGGTTCTCTTACGGTGGGTTTACTTGACCAACGACACATTTTGCTTAAGTTTGGGGTAGAAGAAGACTTTCAACGGTGCTAGTTAAGACAAATGTGGGTGATACGTGGTTTTCGAATGAAAGTAACAAGGTGGACTCCGGAGTTTAGGCCGGATATTGAGTCTCCAGTTGTGCCGGTTTGGATCACTCTGGATGGATTACCTCTTCATCTGCATGATAAAAGGGCTCTTTTCTTTATTGCTGGAATGATAGGAAAGCCACTCAAAGTTGATACAGCCACATCAAATTATTCACGGCCTTCTAGAGCAAAAGTTTGTGTCGAACTTGATTTGCTTCGAGAAATCCCCTCAAAAATGCTCATTATGCATGGGGCAAAGGAGATTATTCAATCAGTTACATATGAGGAATTGCCCAAATACTGTGTAAAATGTAATAAAATTGGTCATTCTAAGGATGAATGTGGCATTCCTAAACCTCGTGTTGGGCAGAGTGGTCAGCAACACGCAGGTCAAATGGTTCGGAAAGAGGTGCGTAAGGATGATCAGAAAGCCCCTGAGAAATGGGTCCAAGTATTGCGGAAAAAACATGGAAAGGATAAAATGTTAGCAATGGAGGAACAGCCGGAATCATCAAAAGATGGGGAGCTTAAAGGGCCAGAGAGTTCGGTTTTACAAATCACAGATAAGGGAGGACAGGTTACTGGTGGGGATACAAGTCTCCGTGGTGGAGATGGTGTGAATCTCAATGGTGAGGCTGGGGTAGTCGAGGAAATGCATAAAGAAAAGGGAGTTATCCAAGCTCAGGTTGCAGGGATTGGGGATAATATTTTGACAGAAGCAGTTCAAGATCTATCGGGGAACACTGCCTTGAAGGAGACAGAGATGGTGGTTTTGTCTTCAGATGTCACGAAATTCATATCTTTTGAGGAGGGCGGCGGTAGAGCGGATGAGGACAGATTTTCCATTGATAGAGAGGGGTTTGTTTCTGATGGTAAATAGGAGACTTTGGAGGAGACAACAGTATAAACTTGGAAAACAGTTTGTGAGGAGCTGAAAAAAAGGGTGGAATTGATAGAGAGCAAACAGGTGGAAGCAGCGGATGTCATTTCAAAAAAAGGTCAAAGAAGTTCTGCCTCGAGCAGTTACTACCAGACTAGCTCCTAAGAGGATCAACACAGAAACCTCAGAGGTTTCTTTATGAAGCTCTTAACGTGGAATCTTCGTGGCCTCGCCAATTCGTGCCCGAAGTTACGGCAGTTTGTAAAGCACCATTCTATTGACTTTATTTCTATTATTGAACCACTAGTGGGCGGTCAAAATAAAGGGGATTTGTTTAAACTAATCTTGGGTTTTTCTGAGCTTTTTATGTCCAGGACTAACAAGATCTGGCTGATGTGGAATACATCTTCCTTTGAGGTTATTGCCATTCAGGAAAAGGAACAATTTTTGTTGGTTAAGATGAAATTTCTGCCTATGGATTTTGAGTTTGTTTTTTCTCCGGTTTACGGCTTACATACTAGAACTGAGAGAGGAAGATTGTGGACCGGTTTGACTCGGTATGCTCATCAAGGTCCATCAAATTGGCTTTTGGTGGGGATTTTAACGTTGTCTCTTCTATTTCGGAGTATAAAGGCTCGTCTAATCCACCGTTAAATGAGATTACAAATTTCCAAGATTGCATCGATAATTATGAACTTATGCAGTTACCTACCATTGGGTCGTCTTATACTTGGTCTGGTGTTAGATCGAATTAGGGGAGTAAATGAGCCAAGCCGCTCTCGAGCTGCTCGGGGATCGCTCGGGAAAAGCTTGACTCGAGTTCAGTCATATTAAGCTCGACTCGAGTTCGGCTCGACTCGAGTAGTTAACAAGCTCAATTCAAGCCTATTTATTTTAGGCTCGTGGCTCGCGAGCCGGCTCGCGAGCCTTTGTGTCATATTTTATATATAATAATTATATATGTAATGATTATATATATACTTTTTTGGAATATGTATTCTGATTTAGGACTATTGCATTTTCAATATTTATCACGAAGTATATTATAATAGCATGTATGTAGTATTACTATTATAATCATAATCTATAATAATTATAATATGTACCCGTAATATTTATTGACAATAAAATAAAGAATAAAAGTGTCAATGAAGGTTAAGGAGATATAAACTAAAAATGAGAATGAATAAGTACACATATTATATTTTTAGCTCGAGTTCAAGCATCTTATTCGACTTCAAACCTATAAAAATAATTAGTAATCGAGCTCAAACAGAGCTCGAATTGAGCTCGAGTGGAGCTCGAGCTGAGCTCAGCTCGAGTTCGAGCCCGAATTATTTAACTCGTCCAAGTTCGAGATCGAGCTCGAGCTCGTGAATTCTTATCAAGCTCAAACTCAAGCATACCCATGTTCGGGCTCGGCTCGGCTCGTTTACACCCCTAGATCGAATGGTCGAGTTTGGGAAAAATTAGATAGGTATTTGGCTACGCAGGGATTCCTATCTAGTTTTGGGGTGGTCCAGACGCAGCATCTAAATAAAACTCCGTCTGATGATTGTCCCATTCTTCTTCTTTGTGAATCAAATAATGTAAATGGGCCGAAACAATTTAGGTTTCAGAATATGTGGTTCACAAACCCAAATTTTAAGCCTTTTATTAAGAAGAAATGGGATGAGTACCCTACTATGGGAGGCATGAGTGGGCTGACTGACAAATTAAGAAGGCTCAAGGTGGATATTAAAAAGTGGAATGTGGAGGTTTTTGGAAATATTTTTAAGGAATTTAAGAATCTCGAAGAGGAAGCAATGGTTGCTGAGAAAAACTTTGAATCTAATCCTATTGAGGAAAATAGAGCCTTGTGGTTTAAGAAACAAGCAGAACTCCTTTTGAAAGCTAAGCAGCAAGAAATTTACTGGAAACAAAAGGCGAATGTAAAATGGCTAAAGGATGGTGATTCTAACTCTCATTATTTCCACGAGGTGGTTAAGGATAAGAAAAGAAGGCAAAATATAATGGCAATTAAATTGTCTTCTGGAGATCTTATTTCTCAGATCTGTACCAGGAGGAAGAAACAAATTCTTATCATACGATGCTTCGTAATATCCCTAATATTTTGAATGACGACGATAATCGTAGTATTGAGGGCCTGCCAGGGGAAAACGAGATAAAGGAAGCTGTTTGGAGTCTCAGCTAAGAAGCGGCGCCAGGGTCTGATGGATATGGTGGTCAGTTCTACAGGGAATGCTGGGATATAATAAAAAAGGATGTGGTCCGAGCGGTGCAGGAATTCTATCTAGGAATCCGTATTCCTAAAGGTGTTGGATGTGTTAACATGGTCCTAATTCCCAAGAAAAAGAATCCGGTAAATTTTGGTGATTTCCGACCTATTTGTTTGTCTACTTTCATTAGTAAGATAAACACAAGAATTCTTGCTAGTAGAATTTCCACTTTACTGCCTAAAATTATTTCTAGGAAGCAATCTGGTTTTATGAAAGGTAGGGAGATTAAGAACCAAATTCTGATTGCCCTAGAAATGCTACATAATTTAGACAGAAAAGTGAGGGCCTCAAACTTTGTGGTGAAACTGGATATGACGAAGGCTTTTGATAGGGTCTCCTGGGATTTTCTACAGGCTATCTTGTGCACTTTTGGCTTCAATTAGCATGTGGTTAATTTGATTATGGGCAACCTGAGAGCTACTTATATTTCCGTTCTTATTAAGGGAATACCTTATGGCTTTTTCAAGCCATTTAGAGGTGTGAAACAAGGGGACCCCTTATCCCCTATACTTTTCATTATAATGTCTAAAGCTTTTTCCCGATGCCTCAATCAGATGATAGCTAATGGTTACATCGAAGGTTATAATAATGGGAGGGGTTTACAGGTCACTCATCTTGCTTTTGCGGACGACCTGATTATCTTTCTTAATGGTTCATCAAGATCTATTAGACACTTCTTTAAGTTCCTACAGGATTATCAACAGGCTTTTGGACAGATGGTTAACAAAGAAAAAAGTTGTTTTGTTGCAGGGAAATATACAACTATGGCCAGAACTCTACAGATGGAAAATATTTTGGGTATGAAGCTTTCTAAGCTGCCATTTAAATACCTGGGGGTTCAATTACATCAAGGGATAACGAGGGTGAATCATTGCAAGGAATTGTTGGACTCTTTTGATAAAAGGCTTTCCTCTTGGAATAAAAAGTTTATGTCGCAGGCTGGAAGGTTGGTCTTAATTAAGCATGTGCTTAATTCCTTGCCTTTGCATATCCTAGCAGTGTCTAACATACCTAGTTCAGTGTCCAGACTTATTAGAAGAAAGGTGGCAGGTTTCTTTTGGGGATGTACTAACAACTCTCCCAAGCATCACTGGATTAGGTACCATGATCTATGTAAACCCAAAGAAGATGGAGGGGTTGGTCTCAGGTCAATTAAAGATATGCAGAAAGTCTCAGCCTTAAAACTTTGGTGGGAATTTCAGATGGGGGATTCCCTTTGGGCAGACCTCATGACGAGTATCTATGGTAAAAGGGGTTTGGGGGAGAGTAAGCCTAGTGATTCTCATATTTGGAGAAGAATTTGTCTCATTCATAATAAGGCTGAGACTATGGTTACTAGGGATTCACAAACAATAACATGGAAGCACACACATAATGGGAAATTTACAAGTAAAATGGCTTATCAGGCTTTAAGGCCTCAGGGTGGAAAGGCTTTGTCTAATCTTCATATATGGCATATGTGGCAGGTGCCAAAGATCAGACTTTTCCTGTGGAGACTTTGGCATGAAGGGCTTCCTTTCCCGGAGAGATTACAATCTTTTGCTGTAGTCTACCCCACCATGTGCCCATTCTGCAAGAAAAATGGAATCTCTCAGGACCACATCCTCTTACTTTGTCCATTGTCTGAATCGATTTGGGGGTTTTTCTCTAATGCGATGCTTCCTGGGAGTGGTAAAGCTCGTACAATCAAATTGGAGCTTATGAAGTGGTGGATTAGTATAAAAGGAAAATCTATGGACAAGGTTTATGCGTTGGTTATACCTGGAGTAATTGCTTGGCACTTGTGGAAGGAGTATTGGGATGCAATTTTCAACGATGCAACTCCGTTGAAAGAAGTTTTAATCAAGAAAATTATAAAATTTATGTTAGGATGGAGTTGGGCGAATGAAAATTTGAGAGGAAATGAAAAGCTTAAGTAGGTTGGATTGTTACCGTTCTCGTTCTCTCTGAGGAAGCCAAAGGTATTTCGGTGGGAGAAGCCGAACCTTCAAAATATCAAGCTCAACTGGTGTATCTTCAGGCAATATGGAAAATCTGCAGCCGGAATTCTATTGCGCGACCATGCAGGGGCGATTGTTGCAGCTGAAGGCTTTCCTTTGAGCGGTTCGTCTTTTGGAGAAGACGAAGTGTTCTTCCAAGCGGTGAGGTGGGTTGATTCGCTAGGCTTTCCTAATGTAGAGGTGGATTCCTCTTATGCGCATTTGTTGGGTTCGGGAGTTTTAATTTAAATGGGAGCTTGAATCGAGTGGGCTGGTCTTTTCATTTAATTACGGCCCAAGTAAATCAATCGGCTAAGATTGTTGCTAAATTGGGCCTGGTTCAGCCCTTTTCATGGCGCATGGGTCAACACTTACCTAATGAGCTTGCTGGGTCTATTAAATTATATTCTCTTGATTTTCCTTATGTTGTTTGCTGAGCTTTTGTTTAGTGGCTTTTTGGCTTTTCTCGGAGGAGTTTTGGTTTGGTCCCCTTCTCCGGATGTACATCCTATCTGATCTTTAATAATATTCTGGAAGCTGAAACCCGGCACCTGCCCCACTGATTTTGGTGGTTTACCTTCCGGGCTAAAAAAAATGAAAAGAAAAACTTAAAGAAGAGGGTGAAAACAATAAGTCATTAAAAATCGGAAAGAAAGACACGATTTAAAAAAGGAAAAATTGAAAATAATAATCCCAACTATTGTCGGTCCACTAATAATAATCCCAATTATTGATTATTATTGTATAATCTCAACTATATGGACCGTCCGCCAATAATGGTCCATGACCGCATATTACCTGCTCTAAAAAGTGAATTTTTAATAGAAATTAAGCGTGAAATTAATATTCAGGATTATTTATAGGGATTACCTACTATATCTCTTTAGAAACTATAGGAATTTATTTATAGTCGGTCACCTCGAACCATTATTGGCGGAAGAGCCTTAAAGTTGGGATAATTCTGAAATAATCGATAGTTGGGATCATTATGAGCGGACCACCAATAGTTAGGATTATTACGATCAATTTTTCCTTTAAAAAACATAAACAAACTGTAGAAAGAAGGTTGAGATTAGAATACTGTGCTTAAGTATTAAAGTGCATTCTCCCGAATTTAACAACTGGCATTAGTTGATGGATATTCTGAACTTGTTTGATGAATAAGAACTTATGCAATAATTTTTAATGAGTAATTTATAGTTACATAAACCTATCCACTTTTTATCCGTAATCCGTTTTGTTGGGTGTGGTTCCAAAACAAAGAAAATAATTAAGAAAAATAATTAAATAAAATGACTAAAGAAAAACAGAAAGTAGATGAAACAGAAATTAGCCAAAGCTCGTGCTATGCACGATGTCCTTAAAACGTATTCGTTGCCTCCCGGGGTGCTAGGAGCGTTGCAACAATTGTTTCCCAGGATACAATGATTATGAAAAATTGTTTGAGCACTCAAACGAATTGTTCCGGCGAATGAGAACAAGTATGAACACGGGGGAATGTTTTCAGAAGCTAGAGGTGTTTTTCCGAGGTGCAGAAACGTGCATGGAGTGTATGAATTGTGTCTGTTGTAAACCACCTGCTAGCCAATTTATAGGGGGGATTTGGGTGTGTTAATGGCCAGTTTAATGGTGTGAACGTTGGACATCAATGTCCAGCACGTTGGCATTGATTCAACCAGAAATGTCCATTTAATTGCATGAACGTTGGGCATTTATGGTGTTGTAACGCCATCGGGTGGCTGATGTGGTCGCTCAACATGGGAGCAACAGTCTGCTCCAACGGGCTGGACCTGTAACAAAATAGGAACGTTACAGGAAGAAGCAAAAATTAAATCTTATCTTTAGAAAATAGATTTCCAAACAACATTAGTGTCCGCAGGTCACCCGCGCACGCAAGTCGCGATTTTTTTATTCTCCGTTTTCGTGATTTGATCGGCACCCCCTTACACGTGAAGAGAGCTTTCCACCTAAGAATCTTAGGGCTTGTTTACTAACATAGATATTTTCCAGTTTTTCAGAAAACTGGAAAACTGAGAAACAGAAAACATGAAACGTGTTTACCTTAATGATTTGAAGAAGTGACTTTAACTAGTTTTCCAAATTTGGAAAACGCAGATGCTACAGGGTCCGGTCCCGCTCCGATATCGATTCCATTCTAGTACCTCCATCCTCATAACTTACCCCTACCCTACCCACCCAACTCCCACCCCGCATACCCATTTTCCCTACAATGACCCTACCCCCACCCCTACCACATGCCCCTACCTTGGTCCCACCCCGATCCACCCTACTGCCACCCCTTACCACCTCAACCCCACCCTAATCCACCCTACCCTACCCCCACCTCGTATATTACCCCCTCACTCCTACCTTACCCCTTCCCACATGCCCCTACCTTGGCCCCACCCTACCGCCATCCTACCCCCACCCTCGTACCGCCATCCTACCCCACCCTACTGCCATCCTACCCCCACCACCATCATACCCCCACCCTACCTGTAACACCCCGACCCTCCAGGACCCAAGGTAGTTACTCTTACACACCTTCCCTCTTACACGCACTTTGTCCTCACTCGCGCGCGTCCTGAGAAACTTCCCAAGGGATCACCCAACCCAAGACTACTCCCGTGCAAGCACGCTTAACTTTCGAGTTCTTAGCTAATGAGCTCCCTTAAAAGGAGATGCACCTTGTTGGTATGAGTAGTACTATTAATCCATTTAAATTAAATCTCAAGTGTTACAATCACCCCCACTTAGGAACGCAATGTCCTCGTTGCGCCCATAAACCAATCTCAATCAAATCCCAGAATCTTGCCCCGCTAAGTGCCCACCCGATATCCAACGGATCAGCACACTGTCGCAGGGTTGCTCTGATACCACCTATAACACCCCAGCCCTCCAGGACCCAAGGTAGTTACTCTTACACACATTCCAGAATGATATATATTGTCCTCACAAACCGCCACTAGCTTTTTCCACGCACTTTGTCCTCACTCGTGCGCGCCCTGAGAAACTTCCCAAAGGGTCACCCATCCCAAGACTACGTCCGTGCAAGCACACTTAACTTTGGAGTTCTTAGCTAATGAACTCCATTAAAAGGAGATGCACCTTGTTGCTATGAGTAGTACTATTAATCCATTTAAATTAAATCTTAAATGTTACACTACCCCTTCCCCTACCTCGGCCCACCCTGATCCTGTCCCCACCCTACCGCCATCCTATCCCAACTCCCTACCCTACCCCTACCTTACCCCAACCCCACCCTACTCACTACCCCCACACTTACCCCTAACCACCACGCTAACCCACCCACTACCCCACCCAATCTCGTACCCCTAGACCTTACCACCCCACCCCGAACAATACCCCTTACCCCACCCCACCCCCACCCACCCATACCTTCCTTCCCTACCCTGACCCCTACGAGTAGGTATGGGTGGGTGTGAAGGGTTTTAGGGGAGTATGGGTAGAGTGTAAGATCGTGGTAAGGGTAGGGGTAGGGGTCAATGGTGTGGAATATATTGGGTGTAGGGTGTAAGGTGGGGGTACGAGGTATAGGGGCAGGGTAGGGGTTAGGAGTATGGGTACACGTACGAGGTGATCATGAATGTGTGTGTGTTTATAGGGTTATTTTGGACATTTTAATGTTAAACGATGTTTTAAACCTTTTGAAGTAAACATGATCTTATAAGTTATAACATTGCTTATTTTATGTGTCGCTTATTAACGCGAGTTTTAATAAGCACCATTTAGTAACCCGTGAAGTAAATGTGTCAGTCTTCTGGATGATCACATAACTGGGTTAAAAAATTGATGAACATGTTTTCAGATTTGAAATGGAAAACTAGAAAATAGAAACAGAAAATTGGAGAACGAAAAACAGAAGGAGAAAACGAGAAAATATCTCTGTTAGTAAACAGGCCCTTAACTTCTTCAAATAAGGTTCCCTTTATAAGGAGGTGAAAATTCCTTTGAGTTTTCCGGTGTGGGATACAAAACACTAGAAACACATCATTTTCATAATTTTCTCCATTTCGACGAGTAAACTTTGATAATCAATTTCTCATTCACCCGTTATCCGTTTTGAGTGTACCACATATGGAATTGCAGCCCTTAGCAAGGACAATCCGAAACCACTTTGACACGACCCAAATCGGAAGTGGACCCCAGTCAAAATATTGCTCCAAAATGACCATTTAATGCAATTTATTAACACATTTTCCAACACGTTTAACTTAAAATTATTTGGAAACATGCTTTCACGTTATGTTCTAGAGCCAGGGGCACGGAGTCAGGGGTCAAGGATCCGTCGACTCCTCTAAAAATTCAAGAATTTAGAGTACTGAAATACTTGCAATGTGATATATTATGGCTCATGTAATCAGGGGCAGAGTCAGGGCACTGAGACGGACTGAGCCGGTACAAAGAATATTTTTGAGAAAAAATTTACAGAAATTTTTTACATTAAAAATATAGATATTTTTAAAATTTGGGCTAGACAAGGGCTGACTCTCCCCTAACTAAGCCCCTGCATGTGACTCATGATGAGTAAAATGATATAACTCCTGAAAAATTAACACTATCTAAACTTTAAATCATTAAATAAGTAAGATTTGATGTGTACGTAGTATTGTTCTCAAATTTTAAAAATAGTCTCTATTTTTATTAAGTATTTCTCCAAAATGTCAAGTACATCTAAATATAGCGATTATGATTGATATTGTTGATAAAAAGATACTCTCTCCCTCTCATTGAAATTTGTTAACTTTCCCTTTTCATTTATCTTAAAGCCTTTGTCACTTTATATTTAAAGTAAATGATTTGTGTTTTAGTTTATTTCTCTATTTGATAACTCTTAATCACATAATTTTATTTTTCTTATTTACACCAAATATAAATTTGATAAAGTCCAAGATGAAAATAATGTAAAAGATTGTAGAAAGAAATAATAATTGTGTTGATTAAAATTTATTTATCTACTTTTCTCATGTACTGGTAAAAAACTGAAAGAAAACAAATTGGTCTTAATTACTATCTTAGTGTTCCATTTACATAATGACACCGACACAAAAAAAGAAAGTTAAAGTTGGGATGTGGTGGTACCAAAGAGAAAAATTAGAGAAAGAAAAAGAAATGAATCAAGAAAAAGGAGATCAGTAAACGCAGCAATCCCGAAATTAAATATTTAAATACTCCGTAATCAATACAACTAGTCACGCTAATCTCTAGTCCACTCATGAATATATATGTGTATATTATTACGTATAAAATATAAGCTGTGTGTTGTTTCTTTCCGGAAGTCTTCCCTCATCTTGACCCCAACTTTTCTCCCATCCCAACTGCTAAAGATTCCGACTTTACGATGAAAATATAGCTTTTGAATCTTCTTCTTCCACTTTCCTTATGTTTTGGGGCTATATAAGTATATAACTGTGCGTGATTGGGATGTAAGTAATCGAAGGGGAGCTGTTAGCCTGTTCATATAGGTTAGGTGTGGGCAGTGTTTGGTCTCTTGTTAGATACACTGTTGTGCTTGGTAGATTGTGCTGTTTAGGGCTCTTTTATGGGCCCAGGTTTCCACTGAGGTGGGTTTTCATGGTGGAATTAAGACTATTTCCCGCGCTGCTTTTCTCTTTTCTGAACCCATTTCTTGCTGTCTCGCATTTGGGGGTCTAGGGTTCCTTTATTAAAGATAAGATTTGGCTTTTTTTAGGTTTCCTCCTTTTCCTATTTTGTGATTTGGGTCGATTTCTTTCTTTTGGTTATGTGTTGGAAGAGCGAATCTTTGTATCTTTCTTGATTCAATTTGGTGCTCAGTTTCAGAGCTTAGTTCTTGAAGAGTTGATCTTATTTTCCAATTGATGTTTCCATGGTGGGTTTTTTGGAAGAAAAACTATGAATATCTATATATATTTATCTGTGTTTCATTGATCTTGAAGAGTGTTAATCTTTTGCAGGTTTGCAGGTAGAAATTATATTTGTGAATTGGGAATGAATGATGAATTAAAGTGGGACTGCATTTGGTGAATTAGAAATGGCTAATCGTCTGAGAACAGATAGAGTTATTCAACCTCCTCTGGTAAAGCTTTATTATTCTTAGAATTGCTATTATCTTATTACTATTATTCTTTCACGATCATGGCAGTGCTGCACTTTTTCGTTTGAATGCATATGAAGTTAAATTACTTCTTGGCTTAAATTTAGCATTTAGTTATTTGGGAAAGAAACATGGTTTTTACATTGGACATATTGGTGTCGTTATAATGGGTTCTACAACATTATATCTATGAAAATTTATTGATTATCAACCATTGGATTCAAAAACTTATTGCTTAGATCATTTTGACTAGCATTTAATGTTGTCATTCAATCTTTATGCAGTATCAACGGAGTAATTCTATACTTGAGAATTAAGAATTAAATTGGGTTTCCTTATTCTCATACTAAAACCAAAGATTAAAAAGACCATTATTCTTTTTCTTTCCCTGCCATTTTCTGTGCTAAAAAAAATAGCCTTAGTGGAAAGATGCTTTCCTTTGAGTTTCAGAACTCATATAGTGCAGGTCGGCCCTTTGCGTTTAAATTCAGAAATTGCTAATTAATGTCATGTGGGTTGAATGTAATTTGGGGGTCTAGGGTTCCTTTTCTGAACCCATTTCTTTTCTCAAATCTCATTACTCTGTAAAAGAACTTCAATAAAGTTGTTCCTGCTTAGTTATTGTTTCAAACTTCCCAGTGAACATTTTCCACCTTTTTCCATATTATATTATGGTGCAATTTTCCACATTCATGTATACTCAAAAACCATTTAGAAAGGGCATAGGCTTACTCCCCAAAAGCAAGATGGTTTTGAGCCATGATTTACTCAAACTAAGGTTTGGAAAGTTGTAATGTAATGTAATCAAAATCATGTGTGATGTAAATGAATAGTAATACTAAAAATATACAAGTACTTAATTTTTATAATTTTATGTGGTTTATTAAACGATGCCTAAAAATAAGTCGTAGCAATGCACATTTTAGGTCTTGTCTTTCCCTTATCAGGTATATCTTGTTTTCTCTTCTCAGGTTGATTCAACAACTTGTCTTTGTAGAGTGGATGCTGGGTTAAAAACGGTTGCTAGTGCTAAACGGTATGTGCCCGGGTCAAAACTCTGTCTTCAGCCAGACATCAAACCATCTATCCAGACCACCCGACCCAAACACACGCGTGACAAAAGTCGAACCCAATCCCCCCTTCTCCCTGGCCTCCCCGACGATCTTGCTATTGCTTGCCTCATCCGTGTCTCTAGGGTTGACCATTCGAAGCTCCGTCTTGTTTGCAAAAGATGGTACCGTCTCTTATCCGGAAATTTCTACTACTCCCTCAGGAAGAAACTTGAAATCGCTGAAGAATGGGTTTACGTCATCAAGAAGGACCGTGAGGGTAAGGTGTCATGGCACGCGTTTGATCCAGCAAACCAGTTGTGGGTCCCACTCCCACCTGTTCCCAAAGAATACTCCGAAGCAATAGGGTTCGGGTGTGCTGTCCTCAGCGGTTGTCACCTCTATTTGTTTGGCGGGAAGGATCCGGTCAAGGGTTCAATGAGACGAGTTGTATTTTATAGTGCTCGGAGCAATAAATGGCACCGGGCACCAGACATGCTCCGCCGCCGCCATTTTTTTGGGTTTAGTGTGATGAACAACTGTTTATATGTAGCCGGTGGAGAGAATGAGGGGGTCCATGGGTCATTGAAGTCTGCAGAGGTCTACGACCCGAACAAGAACAGGTGGTCTTTCATTGCTGATGTAAGCACCCCCATGGTGCCCTTCATCGGGGTGGTTTACAATGGGAGGTGGTTCTTGAAAGGGTTGGGGGTCCACCGGGAGGTCGTGAGCGAGGTCTATGAGCCAGAGACAGACACGTGGGAGCCGGTTCAGGATGGGATGATGTCAGGGTGGAGGAACCCTAGCGCCGCCCTTGATGGGCGGCTCTATGCAGTGGACTGTAGGGACGGATGCAAGCTGCGTGTTTACGACGACGCGGCTGGCTCTTGGAGCAACAAGCGCATTGACGGGAGGATGCACTTAGGGACCTCAAAGGCTTTTGAGGCAGCAGCGCTCCTCCCGCTCAACGGGAAGCTGTGCGTCGTGAGGAACAACATGAGTGTATCCCTCGTTGATGTGGCAAGATGCGGTGGTGACGTGGTGGGGACGGAGCACCTGTGGGAGAATATCGGGGGGAAGGAGGGACAGCTGAAGAGTTTGGTCAGTAATTTCTTCAATAGTATTGCGGGGAGAAGCCGCCTCAAAAGTCACATTGTTCACTGCCAAGTTCTTCAGACTTGATTAACTTTAGAAGTTTTGAGAAATTAAAATTGTTGTGTGATGTTAATGTAAGGAGTATGCCTGCCTGCCTTCTTGTTGTAGCATATAAAAGTTGAAGTTAGCATGTACGGAGTACTATTTATTAGTAAGGTAGAGACTTTAACAAAAAAAAATGCTTCCTTTTGCCTTCTAGAGTTCTAGGACTTTCCTGCCATTTCACCCAATACATAGAAGAGTTTTGCTTCACGTACACGTTCGGTTACACGTTTGGCTTACACGTTCAAGTGCAATTGTATGTGCATACAAAATTACACTTGAGTTTTAGTAAAAGGGAAATTTCGTGACTCTAAAACTCAAGTGTAATTGTTAGCAGACAATTACACTTGGGCACACTGGGCATGTACACAAAGCAAAATTCTACATAGAAAGACAGCTCTTGTATCTTTTGAAACCCAAAGTTCTATTTGAAACAATATATCTTTCATAGGTCCCGCTGAATTGCATCATTTGATTGCCGGTTTTGGCTATGCGTCTTAATTGAAATTGATCTTTGTACCTTTAACAAAGATAATTCATGTATATCACTTTCGAACATTCTGAGAAACAATTACTTTCTTTACATTGACTCGTTGTGTAATTTGTTCACGTACACTTCTATGAGTCCTGTGACTTTGGATTATATTAGCATACATGTTTTGTTTGTTGGACATATATCAATATCAATATATGAATTGTCTATGTGAAGATGTATAAAGAGTGTACACATAGTTGACTTAAATTAGTACATCATCATTACTCCAGTGCCGCAAAGGTTCTCACCAACACTGAAGTAATGAGGAATATCTACACAGCCTTACCTTGTACTAAAGCACACAAAGAATGCTTTCGGATGATCCATAATGAAAATAGTGTTGAAAGTTACGCGGACTGACTGTTGCTTTATAACAATGAAGCGCATCCAGTGTAGTGAGTCATTTTGCTTTATTTTATCACATTAACAAGTCAAAAATAGTGAGTTTTTGCCTCCATTGTAAATAATGAAAATGCTTAAATTAGTACGTGTTTGGCCAAAAACATATTTCCAAGTTTGTTGACATTGCCTGCATTTTCTGTTTTCTATGTATGTTTGTTATCTTTGTATTAGTGCATAACCACTCGAGCTGTTTGGCTGACATGCATGTGCAACGGTAATCTTTTTGTGTTATAAGCGCCTTGTTTGGGCTTCTCGTGTGGTTTACATAGTGACATATACAAGAACTAAGCAGTTCGCAATGCCATGCGCTTACCCAAAATTAGATGAAACTTCAATCCAGTTTGAGTTGCGATGTTTTCACTTGAACTATTTTCAGAGCTCGTTTAGTAGCACGAAAATCGGCTGTTTTAACGGATTCTTCTGAAATTTATGAAGTTCTGGCTGAAGTGACTACATTGGCTGATTATGTTGATTTAAGAAAGAATTCTTTATAAAATATATTTTATTAATAAAATAAAGAAAAAATTATATGTAAAAATAGCTAAAATGGTGATCTACAGTAACTTCAGCCAATACAGTCAGAAAATAACTTCAACCTTACTTTTTCTGCTTATTACACAATTCAGCGCGCGAAAGCAAACTTACGTGTTTGGTGCAAAAGTTGGCTGATAAGTCTGATAAACCGAAAAACAGTGTTGCCAAACGGCCTCTCAGTCCTGTACTAGATCAGATCTAAATAGACTAGACCAAATCGAACCAGACTTCGACAATTATAAAATATACAGAGATCAAACATTTACCCAACTAATTTAACTACACCAGTTCAGATCAGACCAGAAAATTTCAGTCCAATTAAAAATAGGGGGAATTTGACTTTGCATCCCACTTTTTGGGTGATATTGGACTTTGCACCCCATTTTAAAAAAACTTTGATTTTGCACCTCATTTCACTTAAAATTCCTTTGACTTTGCACCCCATTTAGAAATTTTTCTTCACAAAATGGTATGCGTTGGGGTGCAAAGTCAAAGTTTTTTGAAAATGGGGTGTAAAGTCCAATATCACCCAAAAAAGTGGGGTGCAAAATCAAATCCCCTTAAAAATATCCTTAAACTTTCCGTGGAAATTATAATTTGAAGGCATAAGGCTAACAAGCTTTTATCAGTTTATGGACCTATATATTGACCCGACATATCAAGTGTGTAAGATTGGATGCGTGAAGTATCAAGTATGAATGAGTAAATTTGATCTCTTAGAGATTGAATTATGTTCAATATAACCTGGTATCAAAGTCTCATGCAGTTTGTTTGGTTGGGATCAATGGTTTGGTAGTCCATTGACTCGAAATTTGGGTGCACTTAATCTCCCCTAATGGATAGGTGCTCTCTAACACTCTACTTGTATACAGTTTGAGTAAATTTTACCTTTTGATGATCCTTTTGGGGTGAGTTAAACCCGAATTAACATGATAACTTCTCTTCATTTCCAATTCTTGTGACCATATATAGAGAGAAATTCTGGTCCGGAATTCCGGAATAGAACCGTCGTCCGGACGCCGCCGTTTGGGGCAGTTTCCGGTGGAAGTTTTTGATGAAATTTTATGACATGTTCTTCATCAAGTCTAGTTTATCCACAAAAAAATCAGCTAACAATTCATTCAGGAAGGTAGTCAAATAATTTTTGGAAGATAACTGTGTTTTATATGTATATTTTGGCGTAGTTATCTTCCAAAAATTATTTGAGTACCTTCCCGATGGATGAGCGGTCCGGAGGAAAATATTTATGATAGAGAAAACTCTCAAATAGGCCCTCCTACTTTGGTCAATTTCTCAATTAAGCCCTCGCACTTTATAATCACCCATTGGAGCCCCCGAACTAACCAAACCCACCCAGTAAGGCTTTTTAGCCGGTGGAGTGCCGGTTAGCCCGTTTCACGCTGACCTGGAATCCCTCATGTCCCTCACTCATCGGACACTTAAGTTGACGTGGCTACTCCCTTTTAAAACTAATCACTCCTCAAACCTAATTTCTCCTCCCCTGCGAGAGGCTTATTCTAGCTCTACGATCCTTCGCAACTATGTCGTCTTCATCATCATCAACGGTTGTCAAAGAACGAAGCCGTACAATGGACTATGAGCCTGATGTTTACTGTTGGTGCGGATTGAAAGCTCCTCTATGTGTTGGACGAGAGAGTGGGAGAAGTTTTTATGGCTGTCAAAAATGGAAGGTTAGTATATCATTCGGCTATGTGGTTTATGATTACAGTGGCTTGCCTTGTTAATTGATTGCATACGTTAAATGTGTGTAGGTTGGTAGCTGCGGTTTTTTCATGTGGAAGGAAGATGTAAGGAGAAAAGAATTTGTCAGCACCGAAGAGAAGAAATAACTTGTTATGGGTAAAGAAAAGAGTGAAATCGATGATGAATTCAAAAAATTGGTTGAAGTACTTGTCCTACAGATGTCACATTTACAGAGTGATGTTGCTTGTGTCAAAAGTATTGTTGACAATGAGGCGAAGATTAACAAAAAGAGTAGGAAGTTGTATGAGTTAGCTATGATTGTACTTCTTGGTTTAATGGGGAGTGTGTATTTGAGGATGTAAGCTTGGTGTGCAATGTCAGAATACTTATGTGTTGGTCATGTGTAATGTATTTCAGTTTATTAGTTATGTAATTGCGTTGCAATGGCAGAAAACTTATGTGTTGGACATGTGTACTGTATTTCAGTTTGGTAGTTATGTAATTGTTATGTAATGGCACAATGTTGGTTGAATAGAAGTAATGTTATGGCACAATGTTGTTGTTTTTCAGTTTTTCATTTGCTTTGGATGATTTGTCAGAACTGTACAATGTTTATAATACCAAAGTTGTTGTTATGTAATTTGTGGGCATATTAAGGACATCCATCCTGTCACTTGATGTAATAAGACATCACCTGAGATGGTAGTACATAACACCACTCTAATATAACATTCATCATAAGTCACATATTCCTACAGAAGTTAAATATTCATACACCATTCAACATACTCAAACTACAGCATTCTGCAACATAAAACATACATAACAGAAGTCAAATATTCATACACCATACAACATACTCAAAATACAGCATTCTGCAACATAAAACATACTACCTCTGTTCCTTAAAACTTTGCCAAAGTTGACCGACACGGAGAATAATAAAGTAAAAACTGTGTGGTTGAGGTTTGTGCAGAGGAGAGAGAAATAACAGAAACCATAAAACAATTGATTAAAAGGGAAAGTGGCAAAGTTTTATGGGACGTCCCAAAAAGGAAAGATGGCAAAGTTTTGAGGGACGGAGGGAGTACATAACAGAAGTCAAATATTCATACACAATTCAACATACTCAAAATACACCATTCTGTAAAATAAAACATACATAACAGAGGTCAAACATTCCTACACCTTAAACACCACACAAACATTACATAATACCAAATGTTTTTCCAAAATACTGACTCTTTGCACATAGATTCCATCTTCTAAAACACCACATCAACAAAATAAACAACCAACGGCCTATTTCTCCATACTGCCTCTTCCTCCCCTCTCAGGTCTACCTCTTTGATCTGCTCCACTTTGAACACTCCCTCTTCCTCCACTCTGAGGTCTACCCCTTTGACCTCTTCCACTTTCAACACCTCTTGTCTGGCCTTGGCTTTCTTCTGCCCCACTTTGATATGGGATGGGTATATTCCTCTGTGAACAAGATTTCTTATTGTGCCCGTCCACTTTACAAATAGAGCATTTCATGATTCTTCCTTTTCTTGGTAGTTGAGAGCTTGATGGTGCACGAGGTTCAGTTTCTTCTCTCACTTTTTTCTTCTTAGGGCGCCCACTCATTTTCTTGGGTATGGGAGGATGAATGTCTTCATGTTGGGTTCTTGGCCAGAGTAATTCTCCATTTATTGGCTGTAGAGTGTATGAGTAAGTTTTTTCATACAGTTCCTTGGAGTACCAAGGGTCCACATAGCTTTCAGGGTCCTCACCTTTATCAAGAATAGCATAAATTGCATGTTCATAGGGAATTCCACATAGATCTCATCTTCTACAAGCACAACTTTTTGTGTTTAGGCTCACCTTGTATTGATATCTGCCTTTTTTCATCTCATATCCATCATCCCCATTGAAATCAACATGCCACCCTTGACTTGCTAATATATTTTTGTTCAATTTCTTCATTATGAGGGGACCAAAGGCACCTGCACAATATATTGCATTAATTCTACCTATGCAGTTCATAATGACTAAAAGGTTAAAAGTTAAATAAGGATGTAAATGGCACACTTAAGTTTCACTCTGAATGGCTCATTCTTAACAAAGACTGTATCTCTCTTATTATGCACAACATACCTAACCATAGCACTTTTAAATTGCTTTCCATCTTCAAACAACATCCCCACCTTAAAATGGGGAGGATCGGATTCTGGGTTATAGGAACCATTCCCAGAACCTGACCTTTTGGACTTAGGTTCATCTTCCTCTTCTGAATGTAAGCTAGGTGGATTAGCGGAGTCATATTCAGAAGTATCTTCCTCATTATCAATTTCAAGCCCATGCTGAGATGTGTGTATAACATCCATTTCAGGAACTCCCTCATCTGTCAATGGTGTGGAACTATTGTTTTGAACTTCCACATCATGTAGCACCTCTTCTTCTTCATCCTCATTGTCTACTTCAGAATGTAGGCCCTCAACATCACTTTCATCACCTGGGGCATCACTGCCAACA